GTGGTTGTGGTTGTGGTTGTGGTTGTGGTTGTTGTTGTTGTTGTTGGTGGTGGTGGTGTTGGTGGTGTTGTTGGTGTTGGTGTTGGTGTTGTTGTTGTTGTTGTTGTTGTTGCTGTTGTTGTTGTTGTTGTTACACCGTGACAGCTAAACAAAGGGTTGCCTGAGGGAGGGTCACCCAGTACCAGCGGTTCCGGTCAGTTAGCAACGCCATTTCAGCAGGGAGGCGCGGCATCAGATTCCAGACCGTGCCGGATCATCTCTGTGTACCTGCCAACAGCTTGGACCCTCTTGACAGTGCATGCTGTACATGGTTGTGTTGGGACTTGGTGGAAACCCGAATTGCCAGTGATGATCCATGCTCTGCATACACATGTCGTGTTGAGCATTTCTTGTCTTTAATTAAAGTCGTGAACCACTCCTCCTGAACCACTTGTCCTACACATGCACACACATACATGTTGCTGTGCGTGCATGTTCGGCTAGAGTCTAGAATGAAGGCACTGGCCTACCAGAACAAATGCGGACCGCGAAAAAAGAAAGAAAAGAGGATGAAGGGGACAATAAGTGGTAGAGTGCAGCATAGCCGTAGGCCACATGTTCACACGTGCATGATCAGGACATATGCTTGTCTCAAACACCAAGCATGTCAAGGAGCTTTTGCACGGCGAAACAACGTGGCTGAAGACTTAGAAGAGCCGTGAAGATGAGAGAGAATTGAGGGATGAGTGTTTAAGGGTTGGTTTGGTGAGGCCTTTCAGACCGCAGAGTCGTGGTCCGATTGTGCGACATGTGCATTGACTTTACTCCTTGTCAACCGAAGTGAGCATCCAGAACTTCGTGGGAGACGGATGGCAAGGCACAGCCTACTGGGCCAGGCGCAGCCTGAATTAGCGCAGGATGGTCTCCAATGAAGTTCACGCTAAATTGGGTCAACCCGGCACCCCGCAGCTACGTCCCGAAGTGGATCAGGCTGAAGTGGATGCGGCTGCGCAAGACGGCCTGGGCGCGGCATTCGTTTACCAGATCGAAGGTCATCCCACCTTGCTTGCCAAAAGCCCCAGCCGACCCGACAAGGCATGCCTCATCAACAGGGAAGCCCTGCGCTTCCAGCAGCGCCCCTCGCCAGCGGGGCTGCACCATGTGGTGACCATCTCTATTCCTCGGGCCATCAGGACGAAGCTGTGCCCGATTCAGGTGCCGGACATGGCGGTGGGCCACAATCAAGGCGGACATGAGCGCGGGTTTGCAGGCCATCCACGCGCAACACCCAAGGCGAACCGTCAAGGGTGATTATTTTCGCCCCGCCTTGACGATCCAGGAGCAGATCCTGAAGCACGACTGTTGGTGTGGCCAAGCCTCAGGCTTCCTGGCGCCACCAAAACTGAATCGTCATGTAAAGGCCGAGCTCACACAGTGGACTCAGGCGGCAGGCGAGGCACAGCCTATACCTGGCCTGCACTTTATTGGAAGCTGGGCTGACTCAGCCGTCTTGAGTTGCCGTCTAGAGCCATTCTGTCAGAGGAGCTCTTTTCTTGACAGCGAAGATTTTGCGCTCTGGGACGCCACAAGGCAGGTAGTCTCGCATCTTCCCTTTGAGAGGCTGCCTAGACGAGCGGCGCTAGAAAAGCCGGAGATGATCTGCCGCCTGGGCTCTTTTGTCAGAGCAGCACCAGGCATGTTCAAGGATACTCCCAGACTTATGAACACAGGCACGCCGTCAGGTTCATCGTGGCCTCGATCCGCAAAGGATTCTGCAAGGTTGTTCACGCTAACCCGTGCGCCGCTCTGCACATGGTTTCACGGCAGTATTTTTCTGACAGGGATAAGGCTATGTTTTAGCTTGCCTAGCTTGCAGTTGACATCCCGATATCAGGATGCTGAGATTGTCTAAAGTGCATGTGCGTTCTTCTACATCCGCAGTAGCCCGTCGCAGCATGGGGCACAGGTACCTCGAGCATCACATGGCTGCAAGCACTTCTTTCGCAGTGACATTCACTCACATCGACTCCTTCCAGGAATGACCTACAAGGCAATTCGCTCTGCGCAGAAGGTAGTCGCTGTGCTCCTAGCTTTTAGCTACCGGCTGGCTGATGTAGGGGCCCAGCCCACCAGCGGGGTGCGACACAGTCGCAGGACCATCTGCGCGGCCATGGCTACCTCGCAACCCTTCCTGGTCCTCAGCGACAGCCCTGCAGTTTCTGCTGGAAGGCCCCCATCTTCGATGGCTTTCAGTGCAAAAGCTGACATGGCCCTGAGCCATGGCAACGTGCCGTCTATTATCGAATTGCTACATTGGCAATTCTTCCGTCTTATGGGCGACAGAAGCCTTGCGGCCCCAGTGCAAAATCAGGCATTGGTGGCCATGATGGCAGCTCATGCCCAAGCGGCCCTGAACGTCAGATTCATCCCGATCGAGCAGGAGCAGTTTGGATTCTCCAGCCAGAACCTGTACGGACAGGAAATCATGGAGCTGACGCCTGTTCCGGGCATCGACCAGCTCTACAATACGCGCGACCTCCACTTTCGACCACAGGTTGCCAGGCTTGCGATTGGCACCTTGGTCACCAGAGCTGTCGCCAAGATGCGGGGTGAGAATCCGGGCGCCTTGCCCGTGCTCGTGGTGGCCAACAGGAATGCCAGAAATGCTGACCTCTGCACCGAGCTGATGGCATCCCGAGCAATGCCATGATGGAGCTGGCGGAGGTTGCAGCGCATTACTCCAATGCCCTCTGGTACATGCGCCATTTCTTTACCCCGGAACCGGCTCAAGTGCCTGCTCCACAGCGCCTGTTTCAGACCGACATCCACGACTGCGACGATGCCTTCCTTCGCAGCACGGTCCAATCGTGGGCAGGCACCTTGCGGGCTGGCACTGCTTGACAAGCTGAAGTCCCCGGCTCATTGAGCTGACGTGTTCAGAGACATTTATCACTACTTATATGGTGGTCTTTAGCTGGACATCAAGTGCGCCTTCGTCCTTTCCTGGCCCCAGATTTTGGAGCTGCGTAGGAAAGATTGGGGCACAGCCCACGTGAGCATGGCACATGCTCTGGGTTGTATCCCGCACAGAGGTCAGAGGTAGGCCAGCTGCCATCTGACTTTATGGTGATGGCCATAGGCGAAAAGAAAGATCACATGTTTCAAGGCATGATCTTTGGGAAGCCAGGCCACCCTCTCATGCGGGCAGCTATCCAACGTTCCTTTGGTGGACGTGTGCGCACAGCCGTGGCCAACATGGAGTACATGATCTTCTGCAAGTTTCTGTGGCTCACCCTCACAAATGACATGGGCGCAGCCCCACGGGTGGGCTGGAATGTCACCAAAACGTACGGCTCCACCATCTCTTCCAGGAGCATCACAGCAACTGGCATAACGCGAACAGCAGTCCCAAAAACGAGGGGCACTACTTCGTCAGCTACAACAAGACGTACCCAACTTTCACCCGCCTCTCCTATCTCGGGGAGCTCCCCCCCTGCTCACCGACTGCTTCTTTAGCTCCACCGAAAAGCTTGCCTTCCCGCACTGTCCCGAAGCCTCCACCCAATCCGGTGGGGGAACCAATCTGCCCAATCTGCCACGTTCTCTTCCTAGTGCCAAAGCCCCTTAGGCTTCCTGCAAAGGAAGCACACACACTCCTCCCTCTGGCAAGCTCCCCCTCCATTCCAGCTACCTACCGCCAACTCGGCCTTGGTCCCAAATGTGCACCGGAGACTGCACCCCCCATAGACCAGATGTCGAAGGAGGCCAAACTGCAAGAGTTGGAATCTCCAACCTTGCAGGACTGGATCAAAGGCATTGCGAACTTCAACGTGCAGGCTTCTCAGGTCGTCCTGGGTGGCCTTACTTCCCAGGAGCAGCGGCCTTTGTGGCAGACCAGGGTGGATGCTCTCCGTAAGGTGCCGCAGCTGTTCGCTCCCATCAAAGCTGTCCAAACCCAAAAAGCTTGACTTGGGATGTGGCCATGACAGTGAGGCAGGTGCTCACAGATGAAGGGCAAGTCACGATTGCCACGGGCCACGGTGAGGACTGCGAGGAGCTTCAGACCCCACCAAGGTGCATGGTCTGATCGGCGCTTTATTCCAGAAGATATGGGAGCACTATGACTTCAATCCAAATACGATCTCATCGCTTCCACGGACGGCCTTTACACGTGCATGATCAGACGCCAGAGTCCAAATTTGGGCCTGCGGATAGTTCATGATGCTGCTGCCCCGGGCGACCGTCAAACGCGGGCTAGACAATTCTGGCCCTCTCAGCAAGCAGCAAGCGCTGTAACGAAGCCACGTCCTGCTCCAAAGACCCAAGACAGGACGAAGCCTGGTCCGGTTATCAGGACTGGGCTGGTCCGGTTATCAGGACTGGGCAGAGGAGGATGACTGGGACTGGGACTCCTGGGATTGGAACCAACACCACTTCCGCGGTTGGAACTGGGACCAGGCAGAAGATGATGATGACCAATGGTCCCGTCAGCGCAGCTACAGCTACAAGCGCTGAAAACATGGCACAGCCTCCAGCATCACACGCACAGCCTGATGATTCCAGCCCGCGGATCTCCAGCAGGACACTTACTTGGCGATGACTCCCGCTGCTCTCAGCAGCCTCTGCCGTTGTTGACGGCTTCAGCAAGATGACCGTTAGCGCTTGTTTTTGTAGAGGCCTTAGAGCATGCTCACACTTCGCCGGCCAGTCAAAAACCTTAGCTGCTCCGATCAGCTCGCCAGTGAAACTGTTGCAGCTATCTCGTTCCGCTTCAGCCAGTGTCGACCTTTTTGCTCCAGGCACCTCCGGGTACCTCCTGACACCCGCGCATGCTGGCTCCATGATGATTTGAGCATCGATTGCTCGCCTTACGGCCCATCGCCACTGCCTGTGAGTGAGCAAGTGTGGGACGCCACTAGGACCCGGCTCGGTTGAGGTGCTCCAAAGCTGAGTACGACCCAGCAGGCTTTGGCTCGTGAGCATCGGACGCGTTGGCTCACACTGAGGGTGACGGAGGTTATACATACCTTTCACCTCCGTGACGAGGCTACCAGTTCTAGGCTCTTTCAGTTGTTGCCATGCAATTTCTTTGTACATCTTCGTTACTACTGTGTCAGCTTATCTCCGTTTCACATGAGTGCAGGTTTGGCAATACGCCGGTCACGCCTAGAGCACGCTCGTGCAGCGTTCAATTGCAAATAATTGTAATTGTTGTTGTTGTTGTTGTTGTTGTTGTTGTTGTTGTTGTTGTTGTTGGTTGTTGTGGTTGTTGGTTGTTGTGGTTGTTGTTGTTG